TGGCTACAGAGATTGCTTAACCATTCATTTTGGTTTTCAATGAGTCTTGGAGCACTGGGGAAGTTTCAGAAGACTAGAAGAAAGCTAGTATTGTGCTAATATTTAAAAGGGTAAATGGAATGACCCACATAATTATAGGTTTGTTAACCTGATATTTACCTTGGGCAAGGTATTGGAGCAGGTGATACAGGACTCAATTAATAACAAACTAAAGGAGAATAATATAAATTATGCAAACCAGAATGTGTTTATGGAAAATAAATCCTGTCAAGCTAACTTGACATATATTTTACAAGTTTAGTTGATAACAGTAATAGTCTTGATGTAATATGCTTACACTTCTGTAAGGTGTTTGACTTAGTGCCACACAACATTTCGTATAAAAAACTAGAGTGATATAAAATTAACATAGCACATATTCAGCTGATTAAAAACTGGCTAACTGGTAGGTTTCACGATGTAACTGTAAATGGAGAATTATCACTGAGTTTGTTCCCAGTAGGGAGTAGGGTCTCATAGGAACTTATTTGTGACCTTACATTATTTAACATCTTTAACAATGACCTGAAAGGAAACAAAATAATCACTGATAAAGTTTGCAGATGACAGAAAAATTGAACGAGTGGTAAATAATGAAGAGAACAGGTAATTCAGAGTGATCTGGAATGCTTGGTAAACTGGGCACAAGCAAACCATATGCACTTTAATATGACTAAGTGAAAGTGTATACACCTGGGAACAAATAATGCAGAACATAGGACTTGACCCTGGGAAACTGTGACTCTGAAAAAAGATTTGGAGGTGGTGAATAATCAGCTGAATATGAGCGCTCAGTGGAACACTGTGGCCACATGCTCTCCTTGGATTCATAAAGAAGGGAATCTCAAGTAGGAGTAGAGAGGTTATTTTATTATTGTTAGCACTGATGTGACTGCTGCTGGAGTACTCTGTCTCGTTCTGAAGCTCATAGTTCAAGAAAGCCATTGATAAATTGGAGAGGGTTCAGAGAAGAGCCACAAGAACCATTGAAGGATGAGAAAACATGCTATATAGCGATAGACTCAAGGAGCTGAATCTATTTAGTTTAACAAAGAGATGATTAAGGGGTGACTGGCTTACAGTTGATAAGTACCTGCATGGGAAACAATATTTAAAAGGGCTAAGGCAGGAAATTGCAGCTAGATAAATTCAGACTGGAAATGAGAGACATTTTTGGCAGTGAGTTTAATTAGCCCTTGAAACAATTTACCAAAGGTTTGATGGGATCTCCATCATGGACAGTTTTAAAATCAAGATTGGATGCTTTTCTAAAAGCTATGAAACATGTCGGGGAAATTCTATGTGCTGTGCTATACAGAAGAACAGAGTAGATGATCGCTGTGATCCCTTCTCACCCTAAAATCTATGAATAGTTTACAGGAAGAGTCATAATGTAATAGTTTCAGTCAATTTTGCTTGGTTTGTTTTTCCCTTATGCACAGGGCACATGGTTAAACAGAAAGCTGTGTGCCTCCTTCCCCTCAGGGTTCCATACTTTTTGATACCTGCTGTTTGCACACAAATTGCGTGGTTTACTCTGACTTATCTCAGCCTTGCAACTCTCCCAGCCCTACAATAAAAGTTGAGACCCACCACATGGATTAGAATAATTTGAAAATTGCTCAAGTTTTTTTCCATGTGCATTATCGATTACACCAAAACATGAACATCCCTGACAAAATTAGGTCCAAACTTGTGAGGGGAATTCACTGTATCTGTAGATTTGTAGGATCAAAATGTGAATATGGAGATCAGAGTCATTCAGATTCAGAACACAGCTGTAGTATAATGAAGTAATTTGAATATAGCATGCTGTACAAAACTCAGTGGTTCTTTGTAAATGTGTTTTTTTCTGAAATGCTGGATCTTCTCCATAGCCAGGGAATCACTGGTTAATGCTAAATTACAAGAATCAGCCTGGAGTGGTGATATGGTCAAGAAAGAAAAGGAGAATTTTTCAAACTAATTCATTTAGTGCCAAGTGCTGAAGTTGGGACGCAGTGAAAACACTGAAGCCAATAGGACGTGTGATGAAATCCTTAGGCTTTGGCCCTTAGACAGCACCTGATCCTCATTTTGTGAGTGAAACCACTATTCTGAATCCAAACAACAGAAACTTCGGGAGAGTTTGGATTAGGTTAGAATCCTGACCCTTATCTCTTCAGCCTATCTCCAATGTTCTTTCCCACATATAATAGTATTCTCTAGACAATGTGGGAAAGGTGATGTAGTTATTTTGTTTGGAGCAAAAGGTACAATTGTGTGGGTAATTTGAAAAACAAAATGCTTGCCCATCTGCATACTGTATAATCTGCTTTACACAAATTCTGGTGCTTCTGCCTCAACACTAGTAAAATATGTGGTGCTGTAATGAGGTCTGATGTTGCTCATACTTAATTCACACAATATTTCATACATAATAAAAAAATAAGATGACAGAGAATGATGCAGTTGTTACTCAATTGAGCTATGTAACGATGTAAATGAATGAATGCACAGCATGCACCACATAAACCTTAAAAGGCACTCCAGATTTTCAATGTTACATAAATTGAAATATTGCATGGGTGGCAAATTGTTTTAAAGTAAATTTAATTAAAAGAAAATCTTTCATGACATCTTCCCCCGAGGGTAGCACATAACTTGGCACTGGTGTGTCTTGAGCACCTGAAGCCCAAACATGTCCTCACTTACTCTATGCCTGTTGACTTCAGTGAAGCTGCATGGGGACAGAAATATACTCAACGATTTGGCATAGCTACAATATCAGAAGTGCACTACTCTAATCATGTAGATGTTCAAGATGTAAAGTTTTCTTTATGCAGGATAAAGTCTCATGTGTGAATGGTTATGGAACTCCAGATTCACAGGAAACAGAAATGGAAAGCAATTATTAAATCGTTCAGGGTCTAATACAGAAGCCCATTATTCCTACAAAGGAGGTGCTTTAAAGACCTCACTTCAGTGTAGGATTGTTCTCTATCTTATATTTCCAAAGATGCTGGTATTTAATGAAAATACAGCAATATTGTATAGTGTGTGTGTGTGTGTGTGTGTGTGTGTGTATATATATATATATATATATAATGTTCTTATTGCTTCTTTATTGTGTGTATATTGGTAATTTTCTAATAAGGATTATTTACTACAGATAATGGGGTGGAAGGAATATCTACCCATGTGGTCCTTGTTTAATTATTCAGAGGCAGACAGTATTCAGCTATGATTATTTCAGAGAGACCTCTTTCAACCTTTAGAAATGGCTATAACTATAAACTTGTCTTTAACAAAATAATGGGCCCTATCATGCTCCTAATAAAATAAATTGGAGTTTTGCCATTGCTTTCCATAGGAATTGGGCCACAATCAGTGGTGTTATCTTGTGCAATTTACCCACCGTTGAGATACTGTGAAGTGTGCTGGACTTTCAATGTTTAGTTTCATGCTTCAATTATTTATAATTCAAAACTGCAGTTCACTTAATCATAGTCACATGCCCATGTGACTTTTAAAATTATACTTCTAAAAGATAATGGGGCTCTGATATCAGAAGACAATGTAGGTTAACAACTCAGACCATATTAAACATATATTTAACTAACTTGATATAAATCAGCTGCCTTTATAAATCTTTAACATGCCACTTTAAAATTCCTCCAAAACATTACAGTATATATGTTTATGAAACAAACTTTTATACTTGCATCTTCCAGACTGAGCTATATAATGTACCACATTGAGGACTCATATCAGTGGGGAATTTCCTTTTATTCACCAAGTGTTTTGAGAAGCATGTTTTTATGTTGTTACAAAGTGAGCATTGAACAAAAAATGTATAGTAGACATGGAAGAGGCTGTTTTGTGTAACTGTTAAAGACTAGACTAATTTTTTTTTTTAAAAAAAGACTGTGCGACTCCTTAAAATGGGGAGAGGTATTTTTAAGTACAGGCAGTCCCCGGGTTACATGGATCCAACTTACATCGGATCCCTACTTACAAATGGGGTGAGGCAACCCTGCACTAGCTGCTTCCCCCCAGCAGACCAGGGAGACGCGAAGCTAGCGCCCCCCCTCCCCAGCAGACTAGGGAGACGCGGAGCGGCTTTTCTCAGCAGACACCTCAGCTTGAGAATAAAGGACTGAGGGAAGCGAGGTGTGGGAGAATAAAACTGAGCTCTGGAGAAATGTTTGGCTAGAGTTTCCCCTACAATATGTACCAGTTCCGACTTACATTCAGATTCAACTTAAGAACAAACCTACAGTCCCTATCTTATACGTAACCCGGGGACTGCCTGTAACTCTCTGTCCACCTTTCTTTCCACATATCTATAATGAGTGTTGATTTAGTTTTCATGAGTTTATAAACTGGATTCTGAGTTTGCTTTGATCTGAATTTTATAGTCCGGGACATCAGTCAGAGAACAGTGGCTTTAAAACACTACCATCGTAGGCCAGACAGAACCTGTACCAATGTGACAAAAAGGATTCATTTACTATTACTCATAGGGCTTTATGAATGAAGGGTTTCCTAATCGTTATCCTGAAATCCAAAATAAAATAGAAAATTAGTTTTTTTTAAACTTCAGCAGTCAGTTTACCTTGTGAAATTCTGTTTAAATAAAAAATAAATTACTTTGTATTTCACTTCACAAAGGTTGGAGCTCTTCCAGCACTGCTCTGTCAGAAGTCATGCATTTTAATTCTGCCCCATTCTTGATCAGAGATTATTCATTTATGGATGGGTGGCTGTAAAAACTTGCCTCATGCATATGAAAACAGTAGCATTTACCACAAGGAGATTTCATTGCCGCCGAAAAGAGTTGTGGCAATATGTTTCTTAGCCGGGATGTGTCTTCTACCAATGGACTTGGCAGTGCTCACTTAGCTCTCAATGGAATTTTTTGCCGCTTGCCTTGTGACATGTACACTGCTAGCTAAGCAAGCTGTTCAATTCACTTACAGATCATGATTTTAGAAGGAACTGACAGAATGAGTATCAATTCCAGCAGCAATCTACTCCACCAGCAGCCTTCCTGGACAGATGGATATCCTACATGTAATGGTAGGAGTAATTCAATAATCGTGTACTGTCTGTATTGTGCAAAGTGTATGTGGGGGGTATTATTTCTTTAATCATGCATAGGTATGATTTTGCACTATCCAACCTCCTTTATGCTTTATGAGAAATTTACCAGGAAAATGGAGTACCTACAAATGATCGTAATTTGTGGTTTATTACTGTTTTTTTCTTAATGCGAGTAGAGTGTTGGTGAAAAGTGCTGGATTGACAGCCCTAAAGTTACCTCTCAATAAAAAAACATACAACATGGACAGTGGCAGTGCAAGCTTCACACACACATTCCTCAAACATTATTCTATAAGCTTGAACTACGTGGCAGGGACCCCTTCTAAGACAAGAGAAGGGAATTCAGTTTTCCTGCTCTTTATTTGCCTTCTCTCAGCTCTGACTTGGAGGGGTTTTGCCAGAGATGGGGATTTTTTGTGATGTGGAAATTTGTTCAATTCACAGTGGACAGAGATGTTCAGTCCCATTTTCCATAGGCCACAAACAGCCATCAATGGTGAGGGCATTGGGTTAGTGCCACCCAAAGCTCTAGCTTAAGTAGTGATTTAGAGCTGAAGGTCTTGTACCATTATTTTCTGAATTCTGAATGATGCGCCTGTATATTAGAACAGTTCACCTATATATTATGTTAGACGCACCTTTTAAGACCTTTCCCTCCTACCCAATACGTCACAATGTCAGCAGTGAACCTTAAAATCAAGCTAGGCAAATACCCAATATCATAAACTTATCACGGTCTTGTAAGAAGCTATCGCCAAACACGCAGTGAAGGTTTCCTCATTCCGCACTAAAATGAGCTGTTTCTTTTCACTGTGATATTCCTAAATACCTTAGAATATCATAAAAGTGCCTGGATAAGCACACTGGGTTGCCTTTCATTTTGTCCACAAAAATTCCTGGTGAAAGCCGTGGTTTGGTTGAGAAGCACTAGTTTCAGTTTACACAGGATTTTGCCATCCTATATGAGTGAGTTTTATTTTCAGAGATTTTTACCTTTGCAATCATTCAGGATCACTTGCAGTTTTAAATTCACATTAAGTCTGAAATGCCAAATAAACTTGTATCATCCTGTCTGCAATTCCCTCCACATGCTAATTCTCCTCTCTCAACAAGAGCCCCCCCTTTAACCTTTGAAGTCCGGTTTGCAAACTGGTGGCCTGCAAATGTTCTCACTCCCTTTCGAAGGCTGCAGGACACAGGTCAACTACCTTTCTCTGTTTCTTCAGAGGGTGCAACCAGTAGCTCCTAAATCCTATCACTATTTTCTGGAGCTTTCTACATACTAAGTAAGCCCCCCACAATCCTGTAACTGCAGGCAGCAAATGATTCTGCACCAACTTGTAATTTGTTCTTGGAATTCCCTAGGTAGGGAGACTAGATAATTGTATTACTAACACTTCTTACAATCACTTCGGATATTCTTGTTTTTGGCTAGTATATGCAATACTGGATCAGGGCCCAGGATGGAAGACTCAGTAAAGCTGGATCCTGACAATTTCTTGACTTGCAGGGCAAGAGCTTGAAAATTCCCCCTGCACCTCCACTCCTCCGCCAGATATAAAGCTGGAATTTTAAAACGTGGATGATGTTTCAGATTATAAAGATTTGAATTTCAAATGTTAGGAAAAAAACCCACTTAATTTCCCTCTTTTGTTTCTGACCATCTCCAGAGTCCAGCACTGAAATATGTAGGCACTCAGTAGGGTCAGGGTGAACTTTTATTAAGAGGGAACAAGGGGACTTTCTGGCAAATTTAATAATGGTAACTAACACATAAGCCTTATCTGATTAACAAGTTGCCTTTATATAGTGCTGCTTTGCTTAGCCCACACAGAGCTTTTTCACTAATGCAGCTAAGTGGTGTTGCTTTGGTCACTTTTTGTATGTGAAAACATCAGTGTCCCAAGCCATCATTTTGTGGACTTCAAAATTAGGATTCTCATTCTCTGCTACAGGTTGAACCTCTCTAGTCCAGCCCCCTTGGCACCTGACCGGGGCCAAACCAGAGAATTTGCCAAACCTTGGGAGGTCAGTATAGTCTAACACCATTACCATCGCTTCCGCTGCTGACTGGGCTCTTATAAGACATTTAGGGGTGAATTAGAGTTAAATAACAGCACCGAACACTGAAAGCAAGGACTAGTGGCTGTAAACAAACATTATGGGATCATGGGAAACTTGGCCACACTTAGATAAAGTGGACATTTGGCTAACTAAAATCATGCCAGACCACAGATGTTGCTGGACTAGAGAGTGCTGGACTAGAAAGGTTCAACCTATATTATCAACAATTTATCTGGTTTTGTGGTAAAATTCTGATAAAGTAAAAAAAGTGCATTTTGCTTACCTTTAGGTAGAAATAGAGTTTTATTATTTTGAAACTGGCAAAATTGCACACACACACCCTTTTGGGATTTTTTTTCACCAAATAGAATTGATTCTTGTCACACAAAGAGACTGGAAAGGTAGAGTGTGTTCTTTTTTATATTTTAGCTTTAGATTTTAAGATTTTGGGAGCAAGGTTCTTGATCTCCTCTGTGCATGCAAGGTATCTAGCACACTCTTGGTGTTAAATAAAAATATAAATAGTAATGTTTAATTAAGCAGCAAGAATATTGAATCAATGTTGTATATAGTGCCACATTTTCAAAGACAGAAATAAACAAATTCATAGTAGGGGTCACTGTGATCACGTAGTCTTCCCTCACATATGTCACAGGCCACAGAATTTCATAAATTAGTTGCTGCTTTAAGCCCATATCTTGTAGATGATTTAGAGCAATCTGGCCTTTCCTTATGGTCCCCAGCCTGCCCTGCTAAAACCTTGTTTTATATTCTAGTCGTAGCTCACCTTGCCTGCTAAAACTCACACCTCCTTGGCATCCCTACTTCTCAGATTTTTGCAACTTCAATGTTCAAATTATTGCTGCTAAATTCATTGTTCTCTCTTATTGCTCTGACCATATGATCTCTCTCCTTGCATCTCGCTTTTGGTTTCCTGCTCCTTGCTGCATCAAATTCAGCTTCCCTAACCTCATTTCAAAGGCTCTGAAAATTCTCACCCTTCTCTGCATCTATTCTTATTTTCCATTACTTCCTCTGTGTCCTTTCCAATAATAGTGTGTTATTTTTTCTCAGATTTTACCTCATGAGTTTTTTCATATTGCCCACTATGTCTGGAACTCTCATTGTCCTTGTTTTGCAACTCTCTCTCTCTCTCTTTTACTTCAAATTCAACCCCAGCTCTTCAAGCAGCAACCCGGCTTTTGTTCTTTCCCTCATGAATAATCCCAGAACATCATTCCGTCTCTTGCCCTCTGTGTTCATCCCGCTTACTGAAGTTATAAACTCTTTAAGGCAGGGAACATGTCCCTTTCTCAGGGCCAGACTCTGATATCTTTACTCACTGAATAGCCCTTGACTCTGTGACTAGTTTCAGGTACAGAAGAATTTACTGGTCAAAAGTTTGTGTGTGTCTGTATAAAGTGCTGTGTACATTTATAACATTGTATGCATATTATTAGTGTTAATATCTGTTACTATAAATTAATATATAGTCAATATGCCACCTCTACATTGTTCACACTAACTTTTGCACACACAAATTCAGGTTGGCCATATATATGAATTACACCTTTCAACCTGGCAAATGTAGAAATCATGTTAGAAGTTGTCATTCATTAAATTATTTTGCATTCCTGTCCTTCTGCTGGAGATTAGAGAGCTCAGGAATGGTCAATCAGTACAGGATTGTTGATCTTCTCCCCCAATCACATGCAGTACCCCCAAGCAATTGTCTGTGGTGCTTGTGCTCACCTTGGAAAATCAGGACATCTAATTACCCTATTGGTAGGCTCAAAACCTTTGCACACATACAGATTCTAGCATTTGTAATGCAAATGATTGTCATGAAACTACATGACGACGGCTGTTCTAGAAGATTTGACCAACTAAGAAAGAATTTAGATATTCAGTAAAACAAATTAGGTAGCATTGTTTATTAAGAAACCTCTTTGAGGGCTCTCCAAACACAAGACACGAGTTATTTCTTTGCCTTCACTAGGCTGCCAGCTCTGTTATACAGCTGATGAGTGGTTATATATGATAGAATTTGCTATGTAATAATATAGCTTCAAATATATTTATTTTATCATTATTGGGACAAATGCTAAAGTTCACACTCAGCGTTTAATTAGTCCTTATTGAAGCCAAACTCCCACTGATTTCAAAAGGACTTTTGCCCAAACAAGAACTTCAGAATTTGGCCCAGCATTATTATACATACTTGAAAGTTGCCTTTTACATGTGGGTGTCAGTACATCTTTGCTGTAATATTTTTTCCACCTGTGGAACCGCCCACCCAAGAATTCCAACGCCTGTTACAGACTTGACTTAATTAATTCCCACAACACCCATAACCTTGGTTAGTTTGAATCTCTTCATTTTCAAATTTGGGAATCTGAGATAAAGAGCATTGCAGTGACTTGCTCAAGGACAATCAATAAGATGGTGTTAAGGACTGGGAAGAGAATTTAGATTTGCTGGCTTCCAGGGATGTGCTTAAGCAGTCATCCATGTTTTCTTTCCTGCACACAACACATAGCCACTCTGTGCTCGGGGTTACTGTTATGTTAACAGATAGAGTGAGTACATATGAGTACATAACATTTGTCCTTCCCAGTGTCTGGCAGTTTCTATGGAACTCAGTGGGCTGAGATACACCCTCAATACTGGACCAAGTACCATGTGTGGGAGTGGCTACAGCATTTCCTGGATACCAACCAGCTGGATGCCAACTGCATACCTTTCCAGGACTTTGACATCGATGGTGAACACCTGTGCAGCATGACTTTGCATGAATTCACCCAGGCAGCTGGAACAGCTGGTCAACTTCTTTACAGCAACCTTCAGCACTTAAAATGGAATGGTAAATATACAGTAGTGGATAGGATGGACAGGACAGGACTGCAGAATTCTGGGTTGATATAAGCCTAAGGCCACTGATGTTTCTCAACCTTACAGTGATTGAAGCTTTGCTTGTGAGGGGCTTAAGAGATTTCCAGGAGTGGAACTTAATTGCTGCAATGCTCCTAAGAGACACAGGATTGATACTCCTGGTTACCCACACTTTACTAAGCTCTTACCTGGTCTCAAAGACATTAGTCAAGTTAGCAATATTGGGGAAAAAGACCATGAAAAAAGATGGGATGTTTTATCAGCGAAGACAAAGTTTTTTTTTTTATTAACAAGTAGCTCACGCTCTTATATTGAAGAAAGGTGTGCAGAAATGTAGAACTTCCCTTCATGCTAACGATTCTGCCAAAATGTATGTGTGGCACACATTGATCCACTAATGCTTGCCTGCACTTAAAAACTTGTTCCTTTCCTCTTCCATTTTAAAGTTTCTCACAGTTGCAGGCACCAGTCAATAATTAATCAGGCCATAAGACAGCGGCTTAAAAGAAACCGCTGCACATTTGAATAGTGTTCACTTATTAGAAAGAAATTTCTCTCACCCAGACGTGAGTTAGAACAGATCACTGCTAAAATATAAAATTATTCCTTATCTCACATTGCCCATACACATGTATTTTCTGTGTCCTGTATTGGTACCTATATCTTTCTTTCTCCAAAGGAATGTATTTCTTTGAGGCCTCATGTAGTAAGAAGGTAACTCATTCTGTTGAATGACTGAAGCAGATGTATGCAAGGTAATTGCAGATGTGTTGGTCCCAGGACATTAGCGAGACAAGGTGGGTGAGGTAATATTTTCACTGGACCCAGCTCCATTGGTGAGGGAAAGATACACCCACTCAAAGCAGCACCAGTCCCTTCAAGAACAACAGGTGCAAAACCTGCAGATATATCTCCATTTTGCAATAATCAACACCTCCCACAATACACCTTTCAAATGCCATGACTCCTACACATTCCATACCACAACATATGATGTATCTCATCCAGTCCACTAAATGCCCCACTAACAACTAGATGGGTGAAACCAGACAGTTACTACACTTGAATGAAATCACACAGGGAAATGATAAAAGACAAAACAAACAAAGCACCCTATTACAAAGTGCTCATACTATACATGACTTATGAGTCTTCCTCTGCAAAGAAAACCTGAGCAATATTTTCAAAAGATGATCTTAGGGTAATAAGCAGCCCACTGGCCGGATACAGTTGCCAGAGTTAGCCCCTGGCAGGCCACTGGTACCATATTTACCTGTGCATCTGCAGTACAGCTGCTTGTAGCTCCCGTTACCTGTGTTTTGCTGTTCTTGGCCAATGAGAGCTGCAGGAAGTGGTGCAGACTGGAATACCACTTCCTGCAGGTCCCATTGGCCAGGAATGGTGAACCATGGCCTATAGGAGCTGCAAGCACCCATCCCTGAAGATGCACGGGTAAATATAGCACCGGCAGCCCTCTAGGGCCTAACCCTGGTAAATCGCATCCGGTCTGCAGGCCGTTTATTGCCCATCCCTGGCTTAGGAGCTTAACTTCATAATTCTAGTAAATATGAAAAATTATGAACTGAATGGAGACACTGGATTTATGGCTTATTACAATGATCTGTAGCCTATTAATCCTTTTTTGTCCTATGATTGCTCAGGTGTTAATGGGCCAATCTATCTTTTGACTGGTCCCTTAGAATAAGTGCTAATTACTTTTGCCAAACAATTTGCTCCACCTTGCATTTAGCTGTGATACTGAGAGTACCTTTCTCAGAGATGAAGATGAGCTCTGTGTGACTCAAAAGCTTGTCTCTCTCACCAACAGAAGTTGGTCCAATAAAAGATATTATCTCACCCATCTTGTCTCGGAAATAGACATAGTAAGGTAAAAATGACTCTTCCTTCCTTCTGTCCATTTATCTGACTCTTCTCATTTCCAGCGAGAGCATAGTAATTTAGCTGATTCACACTAAGAAGTTAAATGACGAGTTCACAGGGTGTGGGTAGAGGGTGTTTATGTGTGTCACCTCATGTTTTTTCAAAATAAGCCCTTTGGTATCGATCCCTACTTGAAGCCTTATCTTTCCTCTGTGTGCCGTGTGCCTAATTACACATAGAATCATAGGGTTAGAAGAGACCTCAGGGGGTCATCAAAGCAAGGCCAACCCCAACTAAATCATTTCAACCAGGATTTTGTCAAGCCTGGTGTTAAAAACCTCTAAGATTCCACCACCTCCCTAGGCAACCCATTCTAGTGATTCCTCCTAGTGAAAAGATTTTCCTAATATCCAAACATTCCTTCTTCCATGCAATCTTTTGCAGGTCAGTGTGGCAGTGAAGTGTACCCATCACATAATGTCGTTGTTAAAACAGAACAAACAGGTAAGTAATAGCAATTGTGATGGTGTTTCAGGTAACTTGACTTTACCCTGGGTATCAATGATCAAGGAAAATTGCTACTAAGATAAAGTTCATGGTGGATATTTTAGCAAAAGCTTCACTTAAATACCAAAACAAGTCTGTTTTCTAGAGAAGGGGGTATTACATAACGGAGATTAAATAAAAACTGAGCTTTCTAAAATGTCAGTAATTGTCTTTACTGAGTCTCTGACGTCTAACATGGTACCAGAGACACTAGAGTAGATGTGGTCACTTAGGAGACCTCTAAAATGTCACCTAACCCGTGTCGTCATCACCCTTCTCAACAATTGGAGGCTTGGTTTCATGGTTAAAAAGAATTACAATGGAACAACACAAAATCAAGCTCAAGCCTTCTCCTCAAACTTGGGTATTTTCAAGGTTCCTGTCCAAAAATAGCTCAACCCACACCCCAGATCTTGTCTATCCATAGCCAAGGTGCTGGGTGTGCTGCTTTCTCGAGGATAGGAGAACTTGCTTTGGGTAGATACAAGCGCCCATATGAAGGATAGAAATGACATTGGTGTGTCCAAAGGGGAATCTTATCTGGCCCTATTAAGACAAGGGAGGTTGCCTCAATGTGGATGCTGGCACTGCTGTAAGTGTAGGCCAAATAATCCTCCCAAGCCTTAGCTGGATACGGTTTGTTTGTAGAGACAAGAGTGGATGGATCAGATGTCCAAAAAGGAAGAGGAAGTGTGCTACTGTAAGAACATGGGCTTTGGATGCCCCAAAATGCAGCTATAGGTTTGGATGTCTGCTATTGTAAATTCCCATGTCATAAATCAGGGGTGGGGAACTTCAGGCCCAGGGGGCAGGATGTGGCCCCCAGCTTGCCTGGACCTGGACCCCGAGGTATGGGGGTTCCCCAGCACTGGGGAGTCCATGGTGGTGTTCCAGCCCCCTGCCCCCCCTCCCCCACTGCCACATCGTGGGTCTGGAGCACACAAAGTCCACTAGCCTGGGCCCTCCTAAGTTCTTGTGTGCAAAGGGAATGTGGGGAATGTCTTTCTCCTTCTCACTTGGGGGCTTTATTATATTTATTTATTTATTTATTTTTGCTTCTCACGTGCAGCCTCTAACTGATTTTTCTGTAGGTCAGTGGCTTCCGACCCAAAAAAAGTTAATGCAGCCAAACAAGATGATTTAGTGACTCATTTTCAGTTTCTAATTGCATTATTAAATTAAAACAATAAATAAATTCCAAATCTGAGTCTTATACCTCATTGCCTTTGATTTGGAAAGACAAAGAAAGACAAATGTAACATATCTGGCATTAAAAGTTGTAATGTAAAAAGCATCTTGATTTCAATAGTTGTTGACAAGAAAATCAAATGTATGAAGGTAACGAGTATGCTATTATAAATCTCCAATTAATTTTCTGTGTACTGTAAGGAGAACGATGAGTCTAAGGATGGCTTTAAAATTCTTCTATATCCATGTGTTGTTCAGTTTGTGCTGAATAAGATGTTCTTTAGGTTAAGAATATATGTAACTTGAGCAATGGCCCCTTAATATGTGCCTACATAGAAATTCTGAGTTGGTATCTAATAACATAAAATGGGATTTACATAGAAGATGTAATTTTCAGTTATATCATGTTTTTAACCAAATGGAGATTTGGTTTTAGTGAGGGATTTTGGGCACCACCATAATACAAATAAAGAATAAATCTTCATTTCTTCAGTTCTACTAGAATGCTGAATTGTTGAGGACACAATCATTTCTCTAGCAACAAAGTACAATCTTACAAACTTCATTACTGCTCAGGCAGGAAGAGATAATATCCCTCTGGATCACACAAGCTGAAATATTACCTGAAAGAATATTAAGAAAATACAGGCCCAAGAAAAAGCATTTTTTTAAAATAAATATTTTGTATTAATTAATTTTTCCCAGTGTACAAATGGTGAGGGGGAGTATAATAGTCTATGGTGTAGCATCTTCCCTAGTCTTTTATTTTTCACATTTCTCTTATTCTTACTGGATTTATGTCTCATTGTTACTTGCTTCACTCCTGGATAATATTGTTTTACTGACACAGACTTTCATTTTGGTCCCTATCTTCAGATCCATCCATAATGGCCTCCTGGAAAGAAGAGAATTATTTGTATGACAGAGGTTATGGTAGTACAGTAGGTAACTAACATCACAATGTTTTAAGCATTTATGAAGTGTTTTACTGTGGTGAGAGGATGTTGATGTTAATTTTTTTATTTTTAATCCCCAGAGTTATTGGACAATAAAACTTTCTGTCGTGCACAGATTTCCACAAATTCTACCAGTCACCAGCCTCTTGGTAAGAAGCACTTGTATTACTGATCATTTGTCTCACCTGCCCTAGAATTATGCTCTATAAAAGTCTTCTGCTGCAGGTCTATTGTAGGTATCAGCTAATTTTAAACCAAGCAATATTAGCTTTTTTAGTGATCCTAACTAAATCGTTATTTAAAAGGATCACTGCTCTCCTCTCTCTGTCAAGAAAAAAAAGAAAAAAAGAACGTCAAATAATCTGCAACCTCAGGGTCACTCCCCATATCTTTCCAAGTGACTAACTCGAAGTGGACGAGACAGTGTTCGAAAGATAAGATGCCCCTAGCCTGTCACAACCTGTTGTGCAGTGTGGCTGTGCATAGCTAAAGGACTGCCTCATCCCTTCTCAGAAGTGCACTTCAGTGGTGAGCAAATTTGTTCATATGAGGTATCAATGGCCAGATTTGGCGTTACACCAGTACAGAGCAGCCAGAGGGCAGGTATAAATCTTTCCTACTTCTACCAGCACAGAGTAGAGGGTGTTCCCAACAGTTTTCCCACAACTTTAGTGGATCCCCAGTCCAGCCTATAGTACCTCTGCAAATCACGTAGATAGTGTGTCATCTAATCCTTTGATGGCCTCTTTGTACCCCCTGAACAGCATAAAAAGGACATAGCAGGAATATAATCTGTCTTTTTGTAGGCAGGGGAAGTAGTGGGTAAGTGACAGACGCATAGGGAGTAGAGAGAGGAAAAGCAGAAGTGTGTGGTGGGTGGACACATGAAAATGTGGCAAGTATGATTCAGAGTATGGTGTCTTAGTGACAGCTGTGGGCAGAAAGTGAGGAAAGAGGGGAAGAGAGAAATGATGGTAAGAGAAGAGAAGAGACTGGCGAATAGGTAGAAGGGAAAGAAGAGATAAGGAAAGAGAAAGATAAGAAGAAAAAGTCAAAATCAACAGGAAGCATGAACACTTGAAAGAACATGGAGAAGGAGGAGAGAAAACACAGGGAAAGAAAAAGGCAAAAGAGAAAATAATCCAAAGTAAAACAAATTCTGTAAAAGAATTGAAAGGAAAAAAAATTAGGGGTTGTTAGGGGGAGGGAGGAAAAGAAAGGTAAAAGAACAGGATGTGGGAAGTGAAAAAAATGCAGTGTGACTGCATCCCCCTCCATTGTCTTTGCAGCTCCCCACTGAGACTCATGCTGTATGCTAATTTATTTGCCCACTGAGCCCCCATCCTTAAACTCATCTGGCACAATTAAAGGCCATACCAATAACAGTATCTGTATGTGCATGCTCAGTGTGGCCATTACCTACAAGCACAGCAAGGCTTGCCAAGGTGACGTGTGGTTTAAACAAAAGCATTCAGCAATAAATGTTAAAAAAACGCCCACCAAACTCAATTACTTTTTCTCCTGCCAACGCCCATTCTCATAAAATGGCTGCCAGCTCTCTGTCTGACACTGCTGGGAATCAGCAAGATTCTTGGCTTGGTGTGTTTATACACTGACTTGTTGTGCCTAGAGCTAGGGTGGCATGTCCAGGGCACAGCCTGTTGTAAAAACTAAATTTGTATATCCCGTAAAGAGGTAGCTCACTCCTGAATCATATGTAAATAATGTGAAATCTTTTGTCATAAGTTTTGCAAGGCAGCTTTGCTGAAATGGCATCATAATTCTTTTAATCTGTCAAGCCTCAGCCTTCTAATTGTGTGTGCTCAGAAAAGGGTTCCATAGAAGAGTAAAGGCAGATGGGAGGCTGTTTACATAAGTGTAATAAGGAAAATATATCAGTGAGTAAAAGGCAACTGACTCTTATTGAATAAATTACCAGCTAAGGAGACCATACCAAAGCCTTTTTGAGCTAAATATGGGATTCTAAAATAGTGTTTTAATAATGATATTTTTTATGTAAAATTACCCCCAAATTAGGCATTTGACACTACAGTCTTTAAAAAAGACAAAAGTCTCACCAATTCTTGATGTATAGTATAGTTGAGTGTCTTTCATAGGAGCTTATCATGAATAAAGTCAGCAAAACCAAGCCCTCATAAGCTCAGTGACTTCCATAGGTGACTGGTGTTCTCTGAAAATAGGTAGGATATATAAACATGAACTCGGAGTCAGTTTGTTGTTTTGGGCCAAGACCATGTCATATCAGACTTGAAAAAGGGTGCGTAGAGACTGTTCTCTCTGCCCTGAGTAAAATTGAGCAAAATCCTCTGTGCAAAATATTTTTTTTACTTAAAAATGCAAATTTGGGTTAACTGAAACAATTCACAAGCTTAGGTCGATTTTTGGCAAATTGTTTTAGTCAGAATTTCTTTTTTCTAGAAATGTAAGAAAGGGTTCATTTCGCAAATGAAACGTTTTTACTTTTTGGTTTGAAATTTTCCTCAATTTTATTTTTAATTTAAAATGTACTTTAAAAAACACTCAAAATTTATTTAACATTTTAATTCATCAAAAATTTACAACACTATCAAAAAGGCTGTCTGGAAATGATTTTTTTTTTTCAGTTTTTTCAGACCTACACCTGAACATAACATTCAGTTATTTGGACAGCTCTATTTTTGAGCTGATAATTCCAGTTGAGTATAGAATACAGTATGTCTTTCAATATTTTTGAGATCACTTTTTGACATGCAATTATTGCAGATGCAAGTGAAAGTCAGGCACAATTTTATACAAACAGATTATTTACTTTGTCATCTGCACATGCAGATTACTGCTTTTCATGCAAAATTATGTTAATTGTGCATATTTAGCCATTAGAAAACATGCAGGAGCCTTAAGCATTTATTTTATAGAATTTAGGCACTAAATACTCTGCAGAGCAAGCACAAAAGGGACTTGTAATTATGATTGTTTCAGAGACTATGTGGAAGTTCTCAGCCTGATTAATGTCAGTAAAATAGTCAGATTTTGTTTGCTTCCAAGGAGGTGACTACTAAATATAGAAATAGCACCATCTAGTTAGGTGATAAAAGATGAATAAATTCAACTTCTTTACTCTTAGTTTCTGAGGAATGGCTTGAGCTACAAATCAGATGCCTTTTAAGAGGGCTTACACCCAAATTGTTGCACTGATAAGAAGCAGCATGTTCTTTTAGCTTAATAACTATAAAAAATTAATGTGTGCCCTGTTATCAAGAATTCCTAACAGTTCTGGCATTACTTGGATTTTATTTATTTTAAGAACAATGTCTTACCAGATAATTGTGCATTCAGGCACATGGGCACACAATACAATAATATCAATACATACAATTCATGTTAGAGCATCTACAGAACAACAACAACAAAAAAGACACCAAAGTGACATATTACAGCAAGGTCTGGGCCATAATGAGAGATTACAGGATTGCTGTCATAGATATGATCATTTTATTTTTCACTGTGACATACATGTTCAAAGGACATGAGGTTAAATATTTGTTAATCCAATTAACATTTCCATATTCAGCTCTATTCCTCAGTATTTGTTCTTTATTCATCAATGATCTCTTTGTGAAGTGTAGCCTGGCTGGTTAAAATGTAACCCAGAAAGCAAAAACACTCCTTGGATTACTCATTTAGTTTTTGAAAGATGATTATCTGTAGAACAGGCACTTATTCAGTTTGTGGTTTTTATTTTGTTAATCTGCTAGTCAACAGAAAATCTTTCACTAAGTTCATAAGAACAGTTTCATTTTCATCCTCTGCAGAGTCTTCAGATGAGAAAAAAACACAAGATCATCCCCCAAAGTCCCACACCAAGAAGCACAGTAAGTCAACTTTTTATGGCAATACAAGTGACTTGTGAATGGCCCAGAGATAGCACAAAGTTACAGTCAAATTTTGGGAGAAAAAGGAAGCAAGATAAAAAAAAAGACCCGTTTCAGAGCAAATGGGTTAGATGGAGCTATGCCAATTTACACCAGCTAAGGATTTGACTAGTTTTTTCTCAGGGGCACCATTTCAGATTTTGGTAGGAGAGGGCCGACCTGTGCATGCTGTGATGGGGAATATGGGAAGGGGGTAGAGTGAGGACAGAGGCTTCAATAGTGTTACTGAGCATGCTCAGTATAAGCCAAGGACCAAATGAGGAGGGGGGAAACAATCCCATCTGCCTTCCTCCCCTCATACATCATCTCTATCTAGGAGCTACCAAGATACTGCAACACTCTACATTTTGACAGACAACTTAGCATTTAGTTGACAGGAGCACTGTATCTGATTCCTATATAAAGGAAAGACAAATACATATTAGACTCACTCAGCTCTAACACTAGCATAATGCCAAATGCAGATCCCTGCAGCACAACACTCATCTTTACTCTTTCCACCCCATCTTTAAACCCTAGGAATGTTTTCATGATGATCTAATTATCCTTCAGTTGCTCGAATGCTGAGCCTTTTGTTATTCTTAATCACCATGCCTCCCTCTTTAACACACTCCCTGCTGCAAAGACAAAGCTGCAAGCAGCTTAAATTATGTTGCATTTAAGAACTACCTCTGGATTCAGAGGCATGTAACTTTAAGCAGACCTCAAGTATGAAATATAGGGAGTTCAAAGTTGGGAGGGGAGGCTATTGTCCTGTTAGCCCCCCATGAAAGGTGTCCTGGCTGTTTCTCTCTGTTATACTTGTTTGAATTGGCATTGTTACCAGGGTCGCATAAAGATTCCAAATAATGCTCTAGTCAATGAGGACTTTTCAGACACCCACGATACGATGAATGTTTACTGTGTCCTCTTTTAAGACATGATTGCCTGAAAAGAAGTTAGGAGATGCCTTGACTACCAGAATTTTCTCCTGCCTGAGAAACCGCTCCACTAAGGAAAGATTCATTATCCACATCCATTATGGAGGCTTAAGGGAAGGTTATACCATCGGTGTGCAAATGGGTCAGAAAACATCTTCCTTAGTCTTTACTAGGGGAGAATGTCACAGCTTTGAGCAAAACACTCCAAGTGCTTTTCCTTCCTGAATGGGTATACATGCTAGAAGTCATGGTACTGAAGTATAAAGCAGAAGAACAGCAGTCTGAAAAGTATGCGGCTTCAATAGGGTACATACTTGATAGGATTAATGCAAAGTGCTGAGCTTTGTAATATGAAACAAAGACTGAATTTGGCATCATTTTCTCTGGGTTGCATCCAAGTTTCTAGAGTGAGTAGGTTCAGTATTTTGCTGCAGCTTGACTGAGATATGCAAATCTGCGGGGAGCTTTTCCAAAAATAACCTCAATTTAAGAAATGTCAAGATTACTGCTTTATGCAGTGTAGTTGCAGCCATATTGGTCCCAGGATATGAGAGTGCCTCACCTACCTTGTTTCTGTCTTTTATTGGACCACTTTCTGTTGGAGAGAGAGATAAGCTTTCTACTTTTGATTATGTACTAAGTACTTTTATGTGAAACAAACTGTCTCATCTTGCATTTAGATGGGATGACCCTGGAAGTACCTTTCCCAGAGTTGTGTGTGGCTTGAAAGCTTTCCTCTCTCACCAACAGAAGCTGGTCAAATAAAAGATATTACCTTACTCGTCTTTTCTCTCAGATTACAGCATTACACCTCTCAGACAATGTACACGGAAGTCTGGAAGCAGAGTTAGATTTTTCAATTTCTGTACAGTCTGGTAATTTTCTGTGAGCCACCTATAATACTAAAATAAAACAAACAAACAAAAAATACCCTAGAGAAAGTCTTTCTGTTTTCTCCATCTTCTTTCAGATCCTCGAGGGACTCACCTCTGGGAGTTTATCAGAGATATTCTCCTGAATCCAGAAAAGAACCCAGGATTAATAAAGTGGGAAGACCGGTCTGAAGGTGTCTTCAGGTTCTTAAAGTCTGAGGCAGTGGCTCAGCTCTGGGGAAAGAAGAAAAACAACAGCAGCATGACTTATGAGAAGCTCAGCAGGGCCATGAGGTAGCATGAGTTGAGAAAACATGAATCCTGTAATTATTAAAGATATATTGCATACATTTGGCATCTTGTTAATTTAAAAAAAAAACGAGTTAAAGGTAGTTTCATTTGCTACACCTGCCATCTGAGTTCCTATGGGTGATTTTGAAGGGGGTTTAATTACATTTTCTTATTTTTAAAGTGTTTTTGTCTCCCTTTTTGCTGTGTGTGAACAACCTATACAAACAGGTTAACCTAACTGGTTAAAGAAGGTTAAACACAAAAGGTAAAACTCACCTCTCTGCAAAGGAACCAGCTCAAGACCTTGTCACTGCTAAACCCAAAGGCTACGTCTAGACTGGAATGATTTTCCGCAAATGCTTTTAACGGAAAACTTTTCCGTTAAAAGCATTTGCGGAAAAGAGCGTCTAGATTTGCATGGACGCTTTTCCGCAAAAGCGCTTTTGCGCAAAAGCATCCCTGGACAATCTAGACGCGCTTTTGCACAAAAAAGCCCCGATCGCCATTTTCGCGATCGGGGCTTTTTTGCGCAAAACAAGTCTGACATGTCTACACTAGCCCTTTTGCGCAAAAGCTTTGCGCAAAAGGACTTTTGCCCGAATGGGAGCAGCATAGTATTTCCGCAAGAAGCACTGATTTCGGACAGTAGGAAGTCAGTGTTCTTGCGGAAATTCAAGGGGCCAGTGTAGATAGCTGTCAAGTTTTTCCGCAAAAGCAAGTGCTTTTGCGGAAAAACTTGCCAGTCTAGACACAGCCAAAGGGTTTAATTTGTATCTAAGTAAGGAGCTGGTGCTTCTGAAAAAACATTGTCCACCCAAGGTACAATCAAGTGTATAAACTAAAGCAAAGTAAAATAAAAAAAGAGATGTTTTCTCTAATATCTTTCATCACAATAACATTAGATATTACTTGTAATAATAGTGAGTAAAACATGTTCGGTTACAAGTGTGATTTTTTAGATAAGAGTGTCCCTTAAAGACTATTCTCAACTCTACTGCCTAGTGTAAAATCTATTTCTTTGTTTTTCTTTAACAGGTACTATTATAAAAGAGAAATACTGGAGCGTGTGGATGGCCGGAGATTAGTCTATAAATTTGGAAAGAATGCCCGTGGCTGGAGAGAAAATGAGAACTGAAGATGTCAACAAAAACAGCAGCAAAATCTGGTAAAATGGACATAAATATTTCAAAGACAATTCTCTTCTATTTATGTACCAAAATGGGAAAAGAACACTACTTCTAACAGGAAGAATGAACACTATCATCGGTGTCAAAATTATTTTAAAAAAGCGACGAGGAGTCCTCTGGCACCTTATAGACTAACAGATGTATTGGAGCATAACCTTTCATGGGCAAAGACCCACTTCATCAGATGCATGTAATGGAAATTGTTTTAGTTGAAGTATGTCCTATATGGGGAAAATTGTACACAGTGTTCTGTGATATATGATAACATTATTTGATTTTGATTAATTTTCCCATTGTGTGACAATTTTTCCTAGATAGTACAGGAGTAATGTGATTTATGACAATGCTGTGAGCCATGCAGGTAAACAGGGGGAATCATGGGGCATTATCTATTTTTGAGTAAAAGAATTTAAAATAAGGCAGCCTGCTTTCTGCACATGAAAAAAATAATTATTTCTGATGTTGCTTATCTTTGTAAGAGGACTCTCAGGCAATTGTTTAGTTCAGATCATATTATTTCAACAATGGGATACCTGTGGCATATAGAGCAACATATGAGTTTGCTGGAGCATGTTAATACACTTAGCGAGTGAACTTTAAATGGAAAAAATAGCAATTCTGAGCCATTCGGTCGTTTTAATAAATTCCTAGACCAGAAGGGACCATTGTGATCTCCTAGTCTAGTGTCCTATAAAAAAACATAAGCCATAAAACTACCCCAAAATAATTCTTAGATCTTTTAGAGAAATATCCAGTCTCAATTTAAAAATAGTCAGTGATGGCGAATCTGCCACAACCCTTGGTACATTGTTATAATGGTTAATTACACCCACTGTTCAAAACGAATGCCTTATTTCCAGTCTGAATTTGTCTGGCTGCAATTTTCAGCCATTGGATTGTTTTAAACCATTCCTGTCAAGATAGCCTATTATTAAATGTTTATTTCTTGTGGAGATTCTTATAAAAACAAATATTCCATACTCACCTGGATTGTAATTTTGTTTGTCCAATAACATTAATTTAATCTCTCCTACCAATTTCTCAGTCTTTTAACATTCTGCTGGCCTCCCTTTGCTTCAGTTACTAGCTTCATCCTCAGTTAGCTTCTGCCAGTAACTGTAGTGAAGTACAAGGAAAGCATGGTGTGACTATGGGCATTTCTTTGGAGGACTTGTAAAAGCTCCTGCATTGATTGGGACCTGATCCTACAAGGTGCTAAAGTACTTCCTGCCTAGTGCTCAGTGAACTATATCTTCATTAACTCCTGTGAACATGACGAATGTCCCGCCTCACCTTGCTCTGTCTCACCTCACCTCACCCTGCCTAGCTCCTCTCCACCTTACCCCACCCCATCTCACCTCGCCCCACATCACCCTGCCTCAAGGAAAAAAAGCCTTAAAAAAAAGACACATCTATCAGGTAAACTTATTTAAAGGAACCAACTATTCAAATTTCTTCAGAGTCGAGGTGCATCCAAAGTTACCAGATCCAAGAAGAAATAGAGAAAACATGTTTTCCAGTGGTCAGTGGCATAGTGAGGGGAGAATGAGGGGGGAGGGGAGGAAGAGACAGTTGCACCCGGGTACCATGCTCCTCCACTACTCCGTCATCCCTCCACTCGTCTGCTCCTCCTCCACCTGCTGCTGCCGACTGGAGCCTCCTCCTTGCCTCTCCACCCTGAACCTTATTCTCCTCCATTTCCACCAGTGGGTTAGTTCATGCGGGAGCCTGGCTCCAATCTGGAGGGGGTGGGGAAAGATGCAGTACAAGCACCACCACCCTCCTCCCAGGGTTGGGTTCAGCCATGCGCCAGGTTTGGGACCCTGCTCTGCAGTGGTGGCGGGGGAGGGAGATGCAAATTTTGCCTTTGCCCCCGGACACATAACACCTTTGCCATGCCTCTGCCAGTGGCGGTTTAAAACATTTGAGATCATAGGGGAAACTGGAGTGGGTTAGGCAAGCACTGAGGATAGGCTGGTGAGAATAGTGCAAGCAAAAAAGCTAACGCTGGTGAATGAATGCTGGGAAAGCTTCTCAAAACCCAGCGTTGAGCCTGAGGTACTAGTTTTGCTGATTTCTACTTTGAAGGGAAAAAGGCTGTCAACAGAAGAAATATGGAGCTGAAACCCAGAATTAAGGGAAGAACAATAGGAAAGGCACCAAAATGTGCTTACCAACTCCCCACAGAAAACCTAAGAGCCTAGTCTGTTACCTCTACACAGAGAATCACATCACCCACTGCACAGTGCTTGCCAGAACTGTCACCATTAATTATCTCCACATAACAATTGTTACTTTTCATTAGCTGAGTGGAGAGAAGTTCATCTTGTTTATAAAACTGGTTCATAAAACTTCAAAGTAAATTTTTTCTAAATGTGTTTTTGTTTTCTGACTGGGTAGGTCTTCTAGCACTGTTTGGTTTTGCTCAGTTCATTCATTTCCTCTTCGTTTTTTAGCTTGATTGGTTGCACTATATCCTCTTTTTCACCATGTGTGGTCTGAATAACTATATAGATCCTAGGCTATCAAATCAGAACGATACCTTCAGAGTATAAAATACATGTCCCAGAAACCTTCATTGTTACTTTCTGTCATCTGCTTCATGCTTTTTGTCCTCCACGCTTCCAGGGCAATCTTTACACAAGAGACACTTTGGGGCTACGTTTACACTGCAGCGCTATTTTGGGATACTGGAGTATCCTGAAATACCTATCCTGCGTCTTCACAGCAAGCTCGTTATTTCAGACTTGATATTCCGATGTCCCTGTAAACCTAATTCTATGAGGAGTAAGGGACATTTCGGAATAGCGCTTTATTTCGAAATTTGGTGCTATGTAGACAGCACCCTGGGTGAAAACCTGACCACACAGAAATCAATGGCATAATAACCATTGAATTTGATTGGATCAGTATTTCAGCCATGTTGGAGGCTTAAAGAAGTGCTAGGGGTTGGGTAGCAATACAATTATTGTTCTCTGTCTTGGGTTAACAACATAGACCTCATGGCAACCAAATACAATAATATCCTGGTGTAATGCTGCTTTGTACTAGACCTCAAGGGAAACAACCGTGAAATTGTAATATACATTTGTCACCTTTTCCATGGCTCTGAGTTTACTATTCAGCAACAGCTAAATCTATCTGGGGATTCTTTAAGGTTCTACATAGCAAAGTACACAAAATAAAATAAAATAATTCTTTAAAAAAGATGACCTTCTCCAGGATGTGTATTGTACAAAACTTAGGGAGTAATTTCTCCTGAGATGCAATCTAGTCTTCCATTGGAATATTTAGCAATAGGTGACAATCATCAAGCAAATATTTTCTACTGTTAAACTTTTGGAGTGGAAACTTGTCAGTTGACTTTAAAACTGCACAGACCTGGAAAGGAAGCCATTTGACATTTGCTGTTTTACAAATGCCAGCCTTTGCCTACGACAGAGAGAGTGGATTACTTTAGATTGATTCTTGCCACGCACAAATGCAACTAGGCAAAAGCAAACCGTTTTAACCAAAGTGAGATAGTGAAGATACGAATGTTTATATGAATTGCTATTTAAACCAAAAGCAATTTTGAGATTGCTGTTTTTTATTTTGTATTGCAAAGAGCTGAGCAGTCACTTTTTCTAGATGTATATTTTAGGTTAGCAGCTGCGGAACTGCTAACGCCATATGTATAGATTTTTTGTATCATAATTTTTCATATGTACAAAATCGTATAGGAAAAAGTAATGATACTATATTTATATAGTTGCACACCAATCAGTAAAGTCAAAAGTGGCGTTAACATCAACAATCACTCTTAGGATATATTTTATATAGCTAAGAAGAGCAAATCTCTTAAAGAAACATCCATGTTGGTGAAATATATAGACATGAAAACACTTGATTAAATGTTCCTCTTTCTTGCCACATCAAATTGCATAAAATCAGCTTCCCTTTCACTTTATCTTCAGTGTTTAAATATGGAAAACATATTATGTTATCAGGTATTTTGGTTTTTCTAGTCAAATCTCAGATTGAAGTATATGTATCTCAGAAATGCCAAATAGTTTCTATTTTTATGGATGTTATATACATTTAAATAAAAAAACTAAAATAAGTTTTCAGCTGTGTGTTTATTTCAGAGCTTTTTAATTTTTGAAAAGTTACAATTATATGAAATTTCCCAATAACAGTGAAAGAACTGACATACTCAGCTATTGAAATTTACAAAGATGCTGGCTCATTCGACAATACTGCATTCTTTATTAAGTTATGAGGTCTTAAAATTTGGTCAGTATCCCGTACTAATCTCTGGAGTGTTTGCTGCTGATCTGAGGAGACCAAGTAGCTTACATTAGATTGCTTCTCTCTGTGTTCAGTTTCAAAACTTCACTCAGGCCCCAGTTCAGAACAGACCGTAAATAGATGCTAAGTAAGGATGAGATCATGCCTAAGCATGTCCTTAATGTTAAGCATATGTATTTCATTGAATCAAGGCAGCTAAAATATATTAAATACTTTCCTCATATTATTTTTTTCCATTTAATAACTGTGATTGCTGCAGGAACATGTAGAATTTGTATGTCAAGCAGGAAAAAACACTTCCTGTGATGGATCCTTGGCCAAGATAGCACCTCTCATGCTCTTTGTTTACACTTATAAATTCTTAAATAATCCTTGCGGATCTTCCATAGCATTTCTGTTCTAAGGTTCATTGGAATTACAACTGTATTGCCCTTGAAAAATCACCTCCCCCCATCACAATAAGTTAATATTTGCAGTTCCAATAGTTCCAACAGGAATTATAGGCCCTAGGACAACATGTCAATGGTATCAAGTCTCTCCCTCCCCAGAGAAACCCTGAGCACCATCCCTCAATCAGAGGACCCTCTGGTCAGTTGCTGCCCTATCCCACACCTGCTTGGAGGTGTCTTTCCCACCTTCCTTCCCCTCTCTACCCCCCCCCCAGTGTTCCCTCTAATCTGCACTGCAGCGCAGCTTCACAGATGATTAATCAGCCCCTCCCAGTCAGTCAGCTCTGTGCATGGAGCCCTGAGCCACTGACTGGGTGGGACTGATTAATCACCTGTGAAGCTGTGGTGCTCCCAACCACCCTAACCGAGCTCTGCCCCCCAGCAGTCCTGTGCTTCCCTCAGATACTTTTCCCAGCTGTCCCTGCCTATCCCTGCCTGCACCCATCTGCTCTTTTGCCTTCCCAGCTTTGTTCCTCAGTCCCTCTTGGTCCTCATACCCTGCAGTCCCGTGCCTGTCACTGCCCCCCGAACTTGTGCACTCCCCTTCAAGGCTTTGCCAGGACTGCTGGTTAGTTTAGAGCTGGTGTCAAATCCTCATTCCATCTCCTCCTCTCTACTCCTTTCCCCCTTGTGGATAGGTTGTAACCCTAGCAGCTCTTGCCAAGAAAGCAGTTCTTTCACTCAGAGAATGACAAGGGCTGATGCTTGTGTCAGCTGTCAGGGGCTAGACACAATCTGGTCTTTCAATTTCATTCCAGCTCAAAGCAAGGGGCAAACCAGTCTGCTTTGGGTTTTGAATTTGCACCACCTTATTGGGCAGGTTTAGATTTGCAGACCATACCTTGAACCTGAAGCTGTTCAGGTAAAGTTTGGAGTAAAAAGATGGTTGGACAAAAGATTCTGCTTTTGTCCTACTTCTGTTAAGAATGGGCTACTTGCCTCTTGCATGCAAAGAGACACCTAAGGAGTGTCAGCTCTATTTTCTATTACTCCGCAAATCCACTATCAAAGTTCTAAAAGGAACAAGATGATGCTCCTGCCATCACACATACTCTACACACTGTATCATTTGCACTCTGCAAACCCCTTCCTTTTCAATAAAGCCATAAGCAGAAAGCTCTACTATTTTGGAAAGGAGAAAACGGTCTTTGAATTTAACCAACTCGTGACAAAGACAATCCCAGTGTTACAGCTAAACGACCTGAGACAGGTGTTACGGTCAGTTCATGTTTTCCTGTTTTAGTAC